AGATAAGAACAGACACCACACATCATGCAACACATATAAAGAAGTACATTCTAGCAAAATTTTATCATAAGCTACAGCACAGATTAATACATGTCCATATCCCACGCATATAGAGTACTTAGGTAGCATTATTACACAAATAGAGTTTTGATCGCCTCTCAAACTCTCAACCTAGCGAAGCCTACTCTCAGCAGATAAGAACATGAAGCTCCTGCTGAAGCAACCTCTCCATAGCGTCGAAAAAGTTGTTGACCCCTCTAATTTTCTCCCCCTTTGGTATAAAGCACCGAAAAGAAAAGAAAAGAAGAAAGATCGACGAACTCACTCCTCATCTTCTTGGATGGTCTCCCAATCGACATCACCGCCACCAGCAACTCCACCAGCACCTACAGCAGCCTCCTCACCATAGTGCCTCTAGCTAACTGTGGCAGAACCGCCTAATCTAATGCCTCACAGGAGTGCTTGTCTTCCATTAGACACTAAGCACTCAAGGGAGAACACTAAATTACTCGGTTCCATCGGGCACACCCCAAGGGAGAACCCGAAAATCCACATTTTTGCCATCAGGATCACAAATGAGAGAATAAAGCTTACATCATTCTGAACCATTTCTTACACCACTTTTAATACAACATCAGAGTATAATATTTATTAGTATAACAACAAAATGAGATCATATTATCAGAGTCATGAATAATTTAATTGAACAACGGAATATAAACATGTGATTAGAATTATAGCGGAAATAAATACCTATCCATAACATAATGAAGTATTGATTTATAAACTACGACAACAGATTATGAAACTTTCATTTATAAAAGCATTTGATGAGAGTTATAAATAACAACTACGATCGCAGCGTAAAAGAATCCTCGCTGAGCCTACCAGGAGGTATCCACACACAAGAGTTAGCTCATGTCACCTGCAACAGGGGGAATAAAAACCCTGAGTACTCAATTGTACTCAGCAAGACTTACCCGACAGGAGGAAAAAAAAGACTCCAAGGATGTGCAAGGCTATCTGGCTTGTGGGTTGCATTTGCAGGAAGCATTACTAAGCGTGCGTCCTTATATTCGATTTTTATTAATAGCCGCATTGGTTCATTAACTAACCATTCTATGTAAACACCTGTGCTACTTTCAAGCAGGTGGTAAGCAATCAGAGTTTCTTTTTCCATTCCATCTTTCATCTTTCAGTTCTTACTACGATGCTAAACACGAGACAAGCCGTACCGGATCGCCCGACGATTCACGAATCAATGCCCCTAGCTGGGTACCCCGAAAACACACGCCCCGCTTGTACCCCAGGCACAAGCCGGACCAACCCATCACTCTCCTGTCCCGGGTGTCTAGGTCCCCGTCCAAACTAGGACTCTAAGCCCCCGCCCCTAAGTCCTGGACTCAGTGCGGTGCAAGGACCTCCTCCACCAAAATAAAACCCTAACAGTCGGTCCGGAAAGAGCCGGATCCACGACAAGAGAGCAACAAGTCTTCCAAGCGCCTATACACAAGTATGTGCTCGAGATAATAAGTCTGTGACTTGCCCACGATGCCTTATGCAACGATCGGTCCTTAATCGACCAGACAGGGAAAACAGTGTAACCAAGCTATGCCCCGCGTCCACGACGACACAACCTCTTACACCCACCAATACCCAAACCATATCCCTGCCCGGTCACCCGTTTACCTTTGCACCATTTATATTTTCCAAGTAATAATAATACAGTAATATATTTCCTATCTCTCGCGAGTGACAGTCAATCACTCGACTTCTACCGGAGTCCTGTAGCATAGCAATCTACACGATCCTATAATACTAGTAAGACTCATAGGATAAAGATATATATGCAAGTGGGTTTCATTCAACTCCTTAAAACTTAATGCACAAATATAATTTAAACTACAAAAGTAGAGGTTATGCACCGGGGCTTGCCTGGGTAAGACATATTAAAAGTTAGTATCAGCATCTTCAGATCATCCACATCATCTGAATAGAAACCCATTGTATCATCTCCTGGAGAGAATACCATTACACCATCTTCGGATTCCCAATCATCCTTCGATCAATCTGTTGATCCATCATCGTACCTATATGATATGCATGCGATGCAATGCAAAGATATAATTAATCAACTGCAATCGTGACTCGTAAAATACGACGTACGCCGCTCGAGTTAACGGGCCAGTTCTAACGACGACCGTACCTAGTCTACCCATACATGTTGTCGAATAAGACGTTATTTCCTGACAATTACTTTAGTTATATAAACCCAAGTTGTTTCTTTATTTCATTTTATCAATTTAATATTTATTCAAAATAGGGCATCATCATCTATCTAGCAAAGTAATTATTCTGGAACTACAACAATTACAACAATTCCTACAAGTTCATATTTTTACCATATTAAGTATCTTAAATTAATTATATAGATTCCAAGAATATTATCAAACTATGTGAACAAAATACACTATTAGATAGATCATGATTTTAGAAAACTAACAAAACTGATTTCATCATTTTTGGACACCTACATAATTTTATTTAGATTTTGTAAGTTTTAGCCCTTTTTAAACAAAAACAAGAAAAAGATAGGCACTCGGGCCAGCCTCGGCTAGCGCGGCCCACATGGGCGGCCAAGAGGCCCAGACGCCCACGGCCAAGCCGGCCAGGCAGGCGACCCACCTACGCCCATGCGGGCAACGGCCCAGGCCGGCAGCGGCCCATGCGGCCAAGGCCTAGAGGGCGGGGCGTGCGCACGGCACCGCGGCCCAGGCCAGCGGCCAGGCGGTGCGCGCCGCCAGCGGCCCAAGCGGCCGGGAGCGGGACAGAGGCCCAGAAACGGCGACGCGGTCCAACATGGGGACGGGCGCGAGCGACCCAGTCGGGGACCGAGCAGGCCGACCCAGGCGCGCGGACGCGGATGGCCCATCAAGCCGGCCCACACCGCTAGGGCAAGACAGTGGCGGTAAATTTTGCGTTAAGACCCCCGAGTTTCGAACAAAATACCCCACAGTACATCGGCACTATTTACCTAGGTCGCGTATTTCGCAGAAAGGTCCCCGTATAAAATCTCGGCTTGGATTCATACCCTTTGTCTTCTTCCAAAGCAGAGCACCGGCAGGGGAGCTCCGACCGGCGACCAATCCCGGCCGGGAAGGCACGGCGGTGGCGGGAGACCCGCCGGAGAGTTGCCCGGGAACTCGCGCGACCACGACCCGGCTACGGCAAGGCCCAAGCTGCCCCACGGCAGCCTGCCCGCGCAAACCACGGAAGGTGGCAAACCGGCAGCAACGGCTCCGATTCACGGCGGCTCGGCGAGGACAGGGGGCGCGGGCAACCGGATGGCGCGCGGTGCTTCGGCGACTTGAGTGCGGTGGCGCTGGAGGCTCGGGCGCGCGGGCACGGAGAATGCGGCAGTGCTGCGGGGCACGGTGGTGACGGCGCGGCACGGCGTGCACGCGCGCGCGGGGAAGAAGAAGAGGAGGGCACCGGTGCTCGCGGAGGAGCGGGGATGACAGCGCGGTCACGACGGCCACGCGTAGGCAGGTGGGCACGACGGCCACGCACAACCGCGACAGAGGAGGAAAAGGAGGGGCGCGGTGGTGGTGGGAGGCGCAGCCATGGCTGGCTCGGTTGCGCCTGCGCGCGTGGGGGAAAAGGAGAGGCGCCGATGGTGCGGGTGGACGGCGCAACCCAGAGGAGGGAGCGCGGGCGTCCAAGGGACGGAGGTCCGGCGTGGTCGTGGGGCATGCGTGCTCGTGCACACTCGCGACGGCGAAGGGAGGCGCGGCAACGGCACGGGCCTGGGCGCACGGAAGACAGCGCGGGAGGAGAAACGAGGTGGGCGCTGGTGTGGGCGTGCGGTGGAGCTGCGGAGAAGCGAGGAAAAAAAAGCAAAAGAAGAGGGCTGCTGGTCAAAGCATGGGAAACCGAGGACGCATAAGCACGAGGGGAAAAGGGAAGGACGGAAAGGGCGGTGTCGGCCGTGGCCCAATGACCATGGCGTGTTGTGGGACAGGTCGCATCGACTTGATCGCTTGCGCATGTAAACTTGTACACGTATAACTGCTGCTTTGCATTTAAGCTTGTAAAGTGGTTCTTGCTTCAAAAAATGTGCTGCGGTGGCGGGGGCGAGGCGGCAACAATTTCGGAGGTGACCAACGGCTTGTCCGTAGAGAAAGAAACAAGTGGAGCAAGGACAATGAGGCGAAGACAAAAGCAATCAAAGCGCATGCGAGAGACAAGCGAGGTAAGCGCGTGACAACGAGAGTGTGATGGAGAAAAACAGGGCGACGACATTTACACGGCTCGGCCATCTCCATCAATGCAGGGACAGCGCGGCGTTTTTCGGCAGCGTTGCAAAGCGACGTGACAACGGAGGTAGATAGCGGTACTGCACCATCGACGATATCCAGCGAGCCCATGTACACGGCGACGGATCTGTCAACACGACGCGACGTTACTAATTCGGATGACGGATTATTTCAGAGCAGGGAAAATGGACCACCGTATTTAAGCGTCAAGCGATCAGGACTAAAATGAGTTTATACATGAACGTAAATATGTCACTAGGCCAAAGCTTTACAACCACGCGTACTTATCCAAATAAACACGGAAGTGTATATATATATATATATATATATATATATCCTTTTTATTTATTAATGGATTTTATTTTATTTATAAAAGTTGTTTCTCATGTTTAATTTAATATAACAAACCGTTTGTTAGAATCGTCGTCGGACATTCATAAATATTCCTATGCACGCGTAGCTTAACTTGAGCGCTTAATTCGAGTCCGCGAAACTAAGTCACACAAGATTCGCTTATCGCTTCACGTATGTTTTAAATCAAAAATTCGAGAAACTCGTTTCGAAAGTTTTACTTAGGCCTAAATCGCGGCGCTAAATAAGATCGTAACACCGGGGTGTTATACTAACCATCTCTCTCGCAATCAGGTTCTGAAATCTTGCTTTTACGGATCTAGCAGTAGTGACATGGAGAGAGTCACTGAGCGGTGGAAGATCTTCGTCGGTGGCCTCTCCACCCTGCGAGGACGCAAAACTCAAATGGCATCTTTGTGGCTCGATGGAACTGCGGTATGTTCTTAAGAATGAGAAATTTGTTGTTAATTCCATCTATACCAAGTCAGTAAAAAATTCCACACAACACTTTGGAGTGCGAGGTAATGATGGGGATACCCATAAGGAGTGGTCTGGGGAATAGGGGGGATAGAGATGCAAGCATGCTAGCTAGTCCATGAACTCGTAGGTTCATGAGCTTAATTTTGTGGATTCCCGTAGGTTTCCATAACTAGGTTTGATTAAACGTCGGGTAGTTCATGTTTGAATCGGACTAAGAAAATTGTGGGGACCAAAATCTTTGGCCCAAACTTGACCCGACGCACTGGTAGGTCATGTTGGGTGGATTATTTCTCGTTTTTTTAGTTTTTTTTCTTTGAGTTGGATTATTTCAAGTTAGGCCGGGTCGTGGATCAAAATCATAACCCCAACTTGACTCAACATATTGGCGGCGGCTTGGATCAAATCGCTTTTTATTGGGTCGGGTCGGGTGGCCTCTACCCAGAAGGCCAGAACCACTACGTCCTATAGGGGAGTTTTTTTTTTTTTTTGAAGAAACAACAGCTGCTATGTTTGGGCGTTTGTTGTTGGGCCGGACGAACGAGAGGACTAGGTAAATGTTTGTGTTGTGGTGGCCCACCATTGCTGCCGGCCCCTGGGAAACGCCGTCGACCGTCGTCCTCCTCGGTCGCCGTCGGCACCAACGCCACCGCACGCCCGACACCCCTCCCACTCCTTCCACCACCACCCTCCTAAATTTAGCCATGCCCACCACCCCTCGTCCGCTCGTCTGCTCCATTCCACGCTCCTCGCCCTCCCACTCGCGCAAGGCCTCCCGCCGCCACCACGGCACCGCTCCCCGTCGATCCCATTCCCATGGGGCCGCGCCTTCTCCTTCTTCATCATCGAATTGTCTGCCCTCCCGCCGTTTGAAGCCCACGCCGCCGCTGGCACCCCTTCCTCGGTATTGGATCGCTTACTTAGGTAGGTTCGCCCCCTTCTCTCTTGATCCTCATTCGGCCAGATGATGTACTAGTATTTTTGTGCGAGAATGGGGAATAGAGGGATTAGCTTCGATGTACTAGCTCGTAAATAAAACAAAACAAAATAAATAAATACGGCCGGGGCAACATATGATGCTCAATTACCCTTCTAGTTCGCTCAATCAATGCCTCTCTACCTGATGCAACATTTTTTTTTCCAGCGACCGTCCTACTTTGACCTTATTATTACTGCATTTTGGATAATACAGTACCCATTGAATGATTATTGTTACTGCATTTTGGATAATACAGTACCTATTGAATGATTCATCCACGTTGTGGCTGCCAAAGCCAAAATGCGGATAAAAAAACAACAAACGTGGATCTATTTGACTTGCGCAAAACAACCCAATGCTGTTATGCTGCCACAACATGCCATATTCCTTCTACGATGACTCATCCCATTCATAGTGCACATATGTAATACTATGTTACTGTCTGTCCTGATGTGCTCTTCACGTCCTGAAAATTTTCAGATGAGCTCCAAGTCATCATACAACAAGCTGTCCACTGCAAATGACAAGATGGATTCCAATGCCCGGGGCCACGGGAATACTCGGTCGAATGGCGCCCTGGGGCGGAATCAGTCTGGCCTCTCAGTTGATCCGTCCGCTGGCTCCGAACCAGCAGTGCAGTCGCATGTCATCCCTTCTGATAAGAGATCGCGCCGCGACAAGTCTGATGATCCAGCCGACAAAGTGATCCCGAATCCGGCGGTGGTATCTGGAACAGGTGCCATGCCGGCGGAAGCAGCAGCCAGAGGTGACAAGACCATTCCTCAGGGCACCTTTGATGCTTCTACTAGTAGTGATAACGTGGATAGCTCTGGTAGTGGTCATATCAAGCGGCATACTGGGAGCGATCGCAGGTGGGAGGCCATCCAGTTGGCCAGCGGCAGGGGCTCCCCTCTCAGCCTAGTCCACTTTAGGCTTCTGAAGCGCCTTGGCTATGGAGACATTGGCAGTGTTTACCTCGTGGAGCTCAGGGGGACAGACACCTTCTTTGCCATGAAGGTGATGGACAAGGAGGCGCTCATCAGTAGGAACAAGATGATCCGTGCAGAAACGGAGAGACAGATACTTGGCCTTCTTGATCACCCCTTTCTACCCACCCTGTACACTCATTTTGAGACCGAAAAGTTTTACTGCCTTGTCATGGAGTACTGCTGCGGTGGCAACCTGCATTCGCTTCGGCAGAAGCAACCTAACAGGCATTTCAATGAGCAAGCAGCCAGGTTCGTTCATCTCAGATTACCAAGTATTCTTTGTTTGTTTACCTTTGACGATTCTCTGTATAATTCTATTCTTGCACATCTGCACGTAACATTTGCTTATCAGAATTATATTTTCTCTGATTGTTGACAGATTTTATGCCTCTGAGGTGTTGCTTGCGCTTGAGTACCTCCACATGCTAGGCATTGTCTACAGAGACCTGAAACCAGAAAATGTCCTGGTCAGAGATGGGGGACACATCATGCTGTCTGACTTTGACCTGTCTCTGAGGTGTTCAGTCAGCCCGATGCTAGTCAAATCCTCATCAATCAATGCTGGTGCCAATGGCGTTAAGAAAGGCGTAGTCCCTGCTGAGGGTGTCAACCAAGGCTGCATACAGTCATCAGCGATCTTCCCGCGCATACTCCCCAAGAAGAACCGCAAGACCAAATCAGACTTCAGCATCAACGGATCGCTCCTGGAGTTCAATGCTGAGCCGACAGATCTTGTGGTCGATGTCATTTGTCGGAAACACGAGTACCTTGCACCAGAGATCATCAGAGGAGAGGGACATGGAAGCGCGGTGGATTGGTGGACCTTCGGCATCTTCTTGTATGAGCTGCTCCATGGCATGACACCGTTCAAGGGGAATAGCAACCGTGCCACGCTGTGCAATGTGGTGGACCAGCCACTGCGGTTTCCTGATACCCCACCTGTGAGCAATGTCGCCCGTGACCTCATCCGTGGGCTTCTGGTGAAGGACCCTCAGAAGAGAATCGCAACCAAGAGGGGTGCCACTGAGATCAAGCAGCACCCATTCTTTGATGGGGTGAACTGGGCACTTGTGAGGGGTGCTCACCCACCTTCTGTCCCTGACCCTGTAGACTTCGGGCAGTTTAGATCTAAGGAGAAGAAGGCGGCAGAGATTGCAGTTGTGAATGCTCCGAGTAGATTACCTTCTGGTGCTGCTGCAGCTAAACCAAAGACAGGCAATTTTGTTGAGTATTTTTAGGTCTGTACCCGGTCAATTGTGGGTCCTGCTAGTGCTAGGACTGAACACCATAGATACAGATGTTGGTAATGTTTAGTGCTCCTGTAGTCTTGTTCCTCTTCGCTTTGTAATGTTCCTTGCCATGCAGGTTTCTTGGAATCCTGGTAGTATAATAATTGAGATAACCTTGTACAGAAGGAGATTGCTATTGCTGATAATGGATGATGGAAGTTTGAAATTCTATTATTTCTTCCTGAACGGATGGATAGACATGTCTATCATGTTTTTTTTGGTAGGTAAATATTCTCTTGTGAGCAGTAAGAAGAGTTATCCTAAATTTATTGTAGCCCATGTTTTTTTTTCCTATCTTTTCTTTTTTTTTATTCTTTTTGTACTGACCTTGGGAGTAGAAGGGTACCAAAAAAAGGGCATGGGCTCCTGGAGATGTCATGAATGGTGCTACTGGTGGCGAAGCTGGAGACCCTGGCACAGCGGATGCTGTCCAAGCCCATCACCAACCACCTCAAGACTCAAGAGCCAGGTTGCCGTCCAGGATGATTCTGCAACTTCATCATCGCCATTGCCAGGTATTACCACCTCCTCCTCCCTTTTGTTGATCAACACAACCTGACTGCTGCTTTTGAAGGGGATCCGTCTGCAGCACTTCCATTTCTTGGCAATGCAAGTTCAATCTTACAATTTCCTCGATGTAAAGAGGGGGTTTAGGAATTATCTTATGTGAGCTAATCAAAGGATGCTATAGACGCTTGAACCATAACAGGAGTGTGGACAACATAGAGAAGTACAAGATGGCAAAGAAGACTGCAAAGCGAGCTGTAAGTGTGGCAAAGGGTAGAGCGTACGAGGATCTTTACCAACATTTGAGTACGAAAGAAGGAGAGAAGAACATTTATAGGATGGCTAGGGTTCGTGAGAGAAAGACAAGGGACTTCAATCAAGTTAAGTGCATTAAGGACGAAAGGGAGCATCTCTTGGTGAAGGGGGATGAGATCCGACATCGATGGCAAGAGTATTTTGACAAATTGTTCAATGGTGAGAATATGGACACAACTTTTCAGTTGGATAACTCTTTTGATGACACCAATAGGCGCTTTGTGTGGAGAATCCAAGAATCTGAGGTCAGAGAGGCGTTGAAAAAGATGAAAGGAGGTAAGGCGATGGGACCGGATGGTATCTCAATCGAGGTGTGGAGATGCCTCGGGGACATAGCTATAGTATGGCTAACCAAGCTGTTCAACCATATTTTTCGATCGAACAAGATGCCTGATGAGTGGAGGAGAAGTATATTGGTACCGATCTACAAGAATAAAGGAAATATTCAAAGTTGTACTAGTTACCGGAGAATTAAGTTGATGAGCCATACTATGGCCCCGTTCGCTGGTCTGAAACTTGGCTGAAAAACACTGTTCCGGCTGGTTTGTTGTGAGAGAAAAACACTGGTTTGGTGAACAGTAACTTGAGAGGGGAAGCAGCCGGTTGGCTGGTCTGGTTCAGACCAGCGAACAACCCCTATGAAGCTATGGGAGAGAGTTAACGGGTATCGCTTGAGAGCAATAACGCAGGTCTCTATTAACCAATTTGGTTTCATGCCCGGAAGGTCAACCATGGATGCTATTTTCTTAATAAGACAAGTTATGGAGCGGTATAGGGAGAAGAAGAAGGACCTACACATGGTTTTTATTAACTTGGAGAAGGCTTATGATAAAATACCAAGGAATGTTATGTGGTGGCCTTTGGACAAACATAAAGTCTCAACGAAGTACGTCGGGCTCATTAAGGACATGTACAACAATGTTGTGACTAGTGTTCAAGTGATGGAGACACGGATGACTTCCCGATTATGATAGGACTACATCAAGGGTCAGCTTTGAGCCCTTATCTGTTTGCCTTAGTGATGGATGAGGTCACAAGGGACATACAAGGGGACATCCCTTGGTGTATGCTTTTCGCGGATGATGTAGTGCTAGTTGATGAAAACCGGACAGGGGTGAATCAGAAACTGGAGTTATGGCGGGAGACTTTGGAGTCTAAAGGTTTTAGACTCAGTAGAACTAAAACTGAGTATATGAGATGTGACTTTGACACTACTACTCGAGAGGAGGAAGATATTAGTTTGGAAGGTCAAGTAGTGACTAGGAAGGATATCTTTTGATATTTAGGATCAATACTTGGTGTAAGCTTTTGATATTAATGAAGATGTTAGCCATAGAATCAAAGCGGGGTGGATGAAGTGGCGCCAAACATCTGGTGTCCTATGTGACAAAAATGTACCACAGAAGCTAAAAGGCAAGTTTTATAGGACGACGATTAGACCTGCTATGTTGTATGGTGCAGAATATTGGCCTACGAAAAGATGACATGTTCAAAAGATAAGTGTCGTGGAAATGCGTATGTTGCGTTGAATTTGCGGTCATAGAAGAAGGGATCGAGTTCGAAACGATGATATACGTGATAGATTAGAGGTAGCACCAATTGAAGAAAAGCTTGTCCAATACCGGTTGAGATGGTTTGGACATGTTCAACGGAGACCTCCAGAGACACCGGTGCGTAGTGGAATCCTAAGCTAGGATAATAACGTGAAGAGAGGCAGAGGAAGACCGAAGTTGACTTGGGTAGAGGTAATAAAATGAGACTTGAAAAGATGGAATATACCCAAAGACTTAGCCTTAGATAGGAGTGCTTGGAAAACAGCTATTCACGTGTCTGAACCTTGATGACTTCTGCTGGGTTTCAACTCTAGCCTATCCCAACTTGTTTGGGATTTAAAGGTTTTATTGTTGTTGTTGTTGAGCTAATCAAAGGATGATATTCAGAAATGACTGTTTGGAGTCTCTGCAAAGCACCTGGCCCCACCCCACTGACACATCGCTCCATTTTTTAGTACATTTCCCATGTAGGCAAGGCGTGTCATTTAAGAACAACTCTAAAAGTTTCCATATGCATGACATAGTTCAATTTATAGCTTTATTGCCACTTGATGAGTTTGCTATGGCTCTCGTCACTCCAGTTTTACAAGTCCATCACTGGTCCATCGCCTGAGGAACTTGATGCTGTTATACGATAGGTTTTTCTTGTACCCACTAATCAGCCATGCGTATACCTAATCAGCAATTACTTTCATAAGAGAGGACAGACTCATCAGAAAGAAACTGTAGTGAACTTTTGGATCGTAGGTGCACCAGTCATACACATGCACTCACTCACACTTTCACAGCTAGCTTATTAAAGGGCTTACCCTGTTTGGTGATATAATTGATCAGTGTGCTGTCTCCCAAATTTGTTCAATTATTAAGGGCATGCTTTGAATGGGAAAGATGGCCAGATGGGGCAGTGAACCTTGACGAGATGATCCCTGCTTTATGATTGTAGATGTTTAGTTCTTTGTATTAATGGCATGCTTTGAATGGGAAAGATGGGGCAGTGAACTTTGACGAGATGATCCCTGCTTTAGGATTGTGGATGTTTAGTTCTTTGTACAGCTTGATATTGTTTGATCTGGAGAAAAATTGAGCTACGAGGGACATAGTAGGTTATCGAAAGAATATATTCCTTGGACATATCCTTACTCTTCTTGTAGCTATTGATACTTAGTGACGATGATAGTCACTTGTACTGGTCATTTGTACTGTTACCATTAATACAGCATTACCAAACTGTACCAAGCTATGAGAAAACTGGTCGTTTGTACTGTTACCAGGAATACAGGATTAGATTAGCTGAAGAGGCTACAACATGTCATATTACACTAACACAGCAGTCATCTGATCCAAAAGACCAAAACCTATCTCTTGCTGCAACTTGTTCATGCTCCAAAATTGCACCACCCCTGTTTGACTGTTTCCTAGCCTATATGTCCTAAAAATAGAACAAGTGAATTGGAGCATATTCATAGATAGTCTAATGCAAAATGTTCTCCAAGCAATGAGATGCAAGAAAACAAATTACCATCTACATGAAACACCGGATGGGAGGGAGATGAGGAATCGGGACAGGTGGATGGCGTGGAGAATGAGATTTTCCGGTTATGGCCACCCAATCCACATGCCTGATTGATACTTTTTGCCCAATTCACCTGCATTTCAGAAGATTCTATTGAAAGAGCGTTTTTTTTTTCAGATTGTGCCAATTTCTGTCTTCTCTCATTTTCTTTTCTTTTCGTTTTTATATTGTCACCCGGCCGGATTTATCTGAAATTAAACTGAACATGTCATCATGTGCATTAATGTATCAGGCACCAGCCACATGGTCAGGAATTAGGCCATCTCGATATCGGGATAGGTACAATTGCCATGAATCAGGTTATTCAAGTCACATGAATGAAGTAGATCCGATACAGAATGAGGCTAACATCTACTAGTAATGAACCGTATGTGCCATCACCAGAAATAGCTAGCTAGCTAATATCTGACGACGAGAGAGCAACTCTTGTGCAAGATATGAAGTCCTTTTCTCGACACCGTGGGGCGCTTCCTTCAACAACCTAACCACCATTTCACTTGCCAGTTAGCAATGTTTGTTTTGACAAAAGAACTCTAGCTGCTAGGCACGATCTCCTGCACTTGCACAGCTGACGCCTCTCTCTCCAGCTCCAGCACGCGTCTTCTGTTTGCAGCAAACTCAGTCCTGAGATGTTCAGTGTAGAGCGTCAGCGACTTGTGGAAATCTGCAAAACACTTGTCACGGGCATATTTGAGGTTGCTCCCAACAGATGACCCAACGATTGTCCCGGACATGTAAGCGCTGCAGGCGTCGAGGATGGCACGCTCATGCTCGTGGAAGTGGCACATTACAAGGGTCTCAAAATGCTGCAGGGAAAGAGAGGCATGTAAGAACAGTGGAATGTGGAGTGTATATGGATACATTCAGTTTTCAATATCCTGGACAGCTACTATATCAAGAGATGTGAAGTATTTGTTCACCTTTGGAGGCTTCCGGAGTGAATACAGCATTGTCTTGCATGATCTGACAAAGGCCGTCTGATTGTAAGCCAAGGAATACCT